TAAAACTTGAGTTCAATAACTTTATGTAATACATTTTTTTCAAATTTTGGGCCCCAAAATTAAGGTGCGTCTTATACATGGGAGCATCCTATACATGGGGAAATACGGTAACTCATCCTCCAAATTCCTGATTTAATTGAAACCATCTGCTTGGTGCGAACAAACTTCCCAGTTGAGCATAGTATCTTCTGAGTATCTAGAATATAATTTCATTTGAGGAGATTAGAAAAAATAATGGCTCAACTATGTGAATTTCTTTTGGTTTCCTATAAACCTGGACAGCATATTACTTTATCTCTGGGCCATTCTGTGATCTCCTGTTTAAGCTTGGTTCCAGTCTATAATAATCTATTTTTAAAATAGAGAACTGCCTAAGTTGATGGTGTTAAGGTAAATGAATGAATGAATTGAGATAGAAACTTATTAGATCATCTCCCCACATAATTGTTTATTTATAAAAATAGAAGGTGAACCCTGAGTGCTACCAGACCGTTGTAAATTAACATGCGATAATTAGCATTCTCAGGTTAAGAGCCTAGAGCCTTTTGCAATGCCACTTACGTCTCACTGGATTTTTTTCTGTGCCACAAGAGGAATACAATCTATTCCCTGCTTTTTTGAGGAAAGATGGACAGATATGCTTTTGGTCAAGGCACAGGAGATTATATGAAACACACGCCAGCTGCATTTCTTACTCTCTAGACTTGTTAAATGTCACCCTCACTTAAGGATTGCTCGGGGAATGAATACTCTTTCCCAGCCTTCCTGCCACTAGTTGATGTGCTGGTATTGATCCTAAATGTCCTGAGCTTTTTGGGGGAGAAGCTGCTCTGTTGGCAAAAGAGGAGGGGATGTGATCGTTAAATGGGGGGAAATGGGGACACACAGAAAACAAGAATTGCTAAGTAACCTTAGTCGAAGATAACAAAGTAATTACAGGAAATTTTTCTCAAATTTCCTCACTTGGTTCCCAAATACCAATCAAAACACAAAAATTAGTAGAGAACATGTAGTTAATGATTGGTCCACTTTTTTACATCCGGATTTAGTGAAAGCCCATTTCAAATGAATGTTGTCTAGTGAATTTTTTAAATTTTATTTTTATTTTATATGTTGAGATACTCTAGACTTATACAGAAATACAGAAAATGATAACACAGACCACACGTATCTGCCATTAATATCTTAAGGTTTTTAAAGTCCAGAAAATGAAGTTGCTCAACAAACTCATTTAGAAAGTAACCATCTGCATTTTCTGCTTTAGATCATGCTGATATTCCAAATTTAGATATAGAAAAACACTCTCTTTTAACTATCTCAAAATAACTGTTAGACAATCATATCTAGAACTGACCATGTGAAAAGTCATTGATTGCTTTCTTGGAGTTAAAAAAAAAAATTCTTACCCACGCCTTTACTCCTTTCAGTTGTGTTTAGTTGTATTTTTTTCCTCATAAATTTTTTATGTTTGTAATTTTTTTCTTTCTCATTCTTTTTGTTTTTTTTCATTTGCTTCCATACCATGTAACTATATGGTAGGCTAGTAGCATTACCAAAGAGCTGCAGGGAAAAGAGCTAACGCTTAATAACCTTCAGGAAAACTTGAGTGAAGTCAGTCGGGTGAAAGAGGCTTTGGAAAAAGAACTTCAGATTTTGGTAAGTACCTCTTGGGAATCTGAATCGTAGGGTTCTGGCCATTTCAGTTGCTCCTGTTTAAAAACAAAAATCTCCATAAAGAAGTATTGCACCTATTTTTTTCTTCTCTTTTAAAGTACTGATTTAAATTGAGTGTATTAGTCACTGGCTGATAAAAACCTTGAGGGGAATCAGATAAACCCAAACTAGCAATAAAGGTAGGTATTCCAGTAGTCCCCCTTATCTGGGGGGGTACGTTCCAAAACCCCCAGTGGATGCCTGAAACCGCAGGTAGTACTTTTTTCCTACACATACATACTTATCGTACCTATGACAGTTTAATTTATAAGTTAGGCAAGAGATTAACAATAACTTATGATAAAATAGAACAATTATGACAGTGCATCATAATAAAAGTTATATGTGACTGTGGTCACTGGTTGCAAGGACCCCTTTGCTGAAGTCCTCATGTAGGCTCAAAGCTTTCTGGTGCAGCACATTTCTGTCACTGTTCATGCCTTCCACCCACAAATTTAATGCCTTTCCGTCTTAACTGAGCCCTTATCAGGCACTGTGGCTTAAACTTTTGTAGTTTGAGGTGCAGCAGCAAAACAAGCCCAACTTTTTTTTTTCCTTCTTCACAATTTTATCTTCAAGATAGAAAATTCTTACTGTAGATCTTACAACCCCAACATACATTTTCTTTCCTTATCAAGTTAAAAATGTTCACCTTTTCACTTAAAAGAGGCATTTTACGGCTACAGTAGCCAGCTTTGGGGTCATTATTCAGTAAAATAAGGCTGACTTCAGCACAAGCGCTGAGAGACCTCTGTAGTTGATCTGATAACCAGGATGGCTACCACGTGACTAACGAACAGGCAGTGTATACAGCTTAGAGATGCTGGGCAGAGGGTGATTGACATCTGGGCGGGATGGAGCGGGACGGTATGAGATTTCATCACACTACCCAGAACGGCACATAGTTTCAAACTGAGCAATTGTTTATTGAATTGTTATTTCTGGAATTTCCCATTTAATATCTTCGGACCTTGGTTGACCGTGAGTAACCAAAACCATGGATGGCAAAACCTCAAATAACGGGGAACTACTGTACTTCAAAAAAATCATCTGTTCTTTGCCTCTGATAGTGCATTGCTTTGGCATGTTACTCACTACGTAGTTTTACTAAACACAGAGACCTTCCAAGTGACATACCCAACACGTTAGGTTTCAGGTATAACCCCGTCTTGCCCCGTGCCTTCTCCTACTTGCCTGGTGCCAGCAAGTCAGGAAGCTAGGCCGGACCATCGGTACGGCTGTCAGCAAGTCAGAGTGCTGTCCAATTAAATTCAAAGAATTCTCTCTTACAACTCAGTTTATTCCACATCAGGAAATTACTTTTCCTTTCATATATATCCCCTTGCCTTAATCCCAAGTTGTAGGATGTTTTTTTCTTACCTTTTCTCAACTGTTCTTCCTTCTACTTTGCCTCCTGCATCAAAAACTGGAGCTTAATCGAGGCTGATAACCATGAGCCGTGCCAGTGACACCCACACATCATGGGAAAGGAAAGTCATAGATAAGAGAGACGGGCACCACGTTTGTACACACACCTGCATACACTTACATAAGCATGCATCCTCACACACGTGTAGAGATATCTGCACACCCAGGAGTGTGCACATACTCACACGCAGACATCATTCTCTTGTGTGTATACATGTGTAATGTGCGAATGGTAATAATTGATGCCTACATGTCTTAAGTATGTTCGTTAAGGAAAAAGCAACACAAAATAGATAGCATTCTCATTGTCGTTAATAACTGATTGAAACTTTCAGTTTTTATAATTTGAAATCTTTCTGTTTTCTGAATATCCCATTCTTTTCCTTTAGAAAGAAAAGTTCGCTGACGCTTCAGAGGAAGCGGTCTCTGTCCAGAGAAGTATGCAAGGTATGTATAACCCAAGTGTGAGCAGCTGCTTAGAGAATGCTGTGTCTCAAACTGGCCCTAGCCTCTGGAGCACACAGAGTGTGTGCTGCCTGTAGTTCCTGCAGTGCAGTTAGACTGGATTCCACTGGCTTCCTGAAGTCTCAAACCCCATTAATCGTTTCTCCTCTTGGCTTAAAGCTTGTTCCATGTTAAAATAGAAGTATACTTGGGAGAAGTATTCTCTCAAGCTGCCATCATTGATAGCTCTGTTGAGTTTAAAGTGGAAGGAGGAAAGCTGATGAGAAGGGCCTGCTGCCTTCCTGACGTACAGATTTGGGGAGGCAAGAGAGATGCGTCCTTACTTCTTTAGCTTTGTTAAACCGTGGTTTGCTTTGTTATGGGGCTTTTTAGTATCCCTGTGGCCTCAAATCTCATGCACATGATTTGATTTGGTTGTAATAGTGCCAAGCTCTAGATCACTTATTAAATATGAAATATATTAAACTTTTAACTTTCTCCTAAATAGAAACTGTAAATAAATTACACCAAAAAGAGGAGCAGTTTAATGTGCTGTCTTCTGAATTGGAGAAGTTGAGAGGAAATTTAACAGGTAAGACGATGTCCCTGGTTACTAAACACTAAATATAGTAGGCTTCCTAGGATTTGAGAAAATTATAATATGTTACAATAACATGTCTACTATTCAGGCATAACTTCCTCACTCATGGTGATATAATGTGATAAAATACTTGTTTGGTCTCTAAGCTTCAGCAAATCCTCTCTGCCTTGTTTTCAGACAAGTCAGTGTCCACCATATCTCACTACTCCCGCTGCTAGCCTTGAGCCAAGCCAGCCATCATAATAGTGGCCTCCTGGTCTGCCTGCTTCTCCCCTTGTCCCCTTCAGCCTGTTCTCGGCATAGCAGCCAGAGCAACCCTTCAACATCTAGTCAGATCATGTAACTTTTGTTCTCAAAACCACCCAGTGACCCCCATTCTCTCAAGAGTGAAAGGAATGGTCTGTGCCACCATCAGGCCCTGCCTTTCTCCTGATTCCCTCTCACAGTACATCTCGCTTGGCTCTTTCCACTCCAGCCATAGTGGCTTCCTTGGTGATACTTGCATGCCGGGCATGTTCCTGCCTCAGGGCCTTTGCACTTGCTTTCCCCTCTGCCTGCAGTCCTCTTCCCTTCCTTCAGGTCTTTACTTAAATGTCACCATCTCAGAGAGGCCTTAGATTTAACCTCCCCAGCTCCTTTTCTAGCTTCCTTCTCTGCTTGTATTATTGTTCCTCTTAGCACTTAGCACTATTACGCTATTTATTTTCTTTATCTTGTTTAGTGTCTATCTTCTTTGCTAGAATCTAATTTTCATGAGGGCAGAGATTGCTATATGCAAATATTCCCAGAGCAAGGCTTGGCATATAAGATGCAGTCAGTAAATGTTTATTAATTATAACTCAACAGTGTTATTTTTATTCTATACAAATTCAGAGATGGAGGCAAAATTCAGAGAGAGAGGTGAAAGAGAAGAGCAATTGATAAAGGCGAAAGAAAAACTGGAAAATGACATTGCAGAAATAATGAAGATGTCAGGAGATAATTCTTCTCAGCTGACAAAAATGAATGATGAGTTACGTCTGAGAGAAAGGTATGTGTGAATGCTAATAAGGGAGCCTGCCATAGGTTAGGCTCTGAAGCACCGTCTAGACGGGAGAGGAGCCCATGTCTCCAGGATTGGTATGTTTTCAAGTTTCCTGTCTCTTCTGCTCTCTTAATACCTCAGCATATCCTTGAATCAACTGTCTAACCTTCTAAGGAATACAATGTTGTAGACATTTTGGTGACTTGTAAAGAAAAGGTAGTCATTTACCAATGGCAATAACATCTTTTATGGGCAGTTAAAAATATCTTAAACCTATTTCAGTGCAATGATAGGTAACACTTACTAAGGGCTTGCTATGTGCCGTGCGCTATGCTTACCACTTTATAGAGTATATTTCCTAATTCTCATAATAATCCTATGAGGTGAGTGTATTATTGTTCCCATTTTAAAGAAAGAGAACCTGAAGCTTAGGTGAGGTTCAGCAACTTGCCTGAGGCGTCAGATCAGGCAAGGCTGGCTGGGTCCAGAGCCCTTGTTTCATTGTATGTCCTCAGTGCCAGCGCTGCTTTTATCTTAACTTCTGTTTTTGCCTTTATTCTGACGTTCCTGTTGCTTTGATTTTTTTTTCTTTTAATAGCCATTTTATACAATGGGTTTTATACAAAACCTAATGTTTTGTAAGGCAAAAATGTTTAGAGGCCATTTTAGTACCATTAGACTTGTGATTCTGATAGTGTTAATACTTCGCAAAGTTTTGTTTGTATCCAGCCATGCACCCACACACGGTTCAGCATTGATGGGTGATTGGCAACTGGGTCTTGGTTGGCCCACTTTGGTCAAACTTGCTGTGAGGTGGGCACAGCTGCACAGGTGGTTGTGGCATGGTGCCTTTGAGAAGTTCATTTCTGTAGGTGTTTTAGGGGCATAAAATCCGGAGGTACCACCCAAGCCTCCCTTCTCTGTTCTTGGATTCACTTGAAAGCCCGTTCTCTAGGTTGATGTCCCACGTTTTCTGTACATTTTTGTTTGCCATATGGTTATCGTTAAGCTAGAGCTTCAAATGATTTATCATTGTTTTTATATCTTATGTTCTTAAGCAGTACTAGAATGAGTTTGATAATTTAGTCTGATAAAATTTTGAAACTTTCTAAATACTCAATTCTTTAGGATGTTTAGGTTTTACTCATTTTTCCTTATTGATCTATTGACATAAAATAATAAACTTTCACAGTTACAATAGTTATTACTCTAAATCATGTTTATAACTATCACAATTGTTAAAGTTATGCTTCAGGACAAGTTTTTTTGCCTATTTCAGATATTAATTACTCATAACATTTGTAATCATTAATACAATTATTTTTAACAGTATCTTTTTAAGTGTAACTGTAGTAGTCAATGCATTCTTTTAAAAAGCTGACACCTTTTATTGAAACTTGTTCTAGAAATGTAGAAGAATTACAGCTAAAACTTACAAAGGCTAATGAAAATGTAAGTTTTATGCAGAGAAGTATTGGGGAAGTAACTCTCAAAGCTGAACAGAGCCAGCAAGAAGCAGCTAAAAAGCATGAGGAAGAAAAGAAAGAATTGCTGGAAAAATTGTTGAACCTGGTAAGGAGAGAATAACTGGGACTGTTTAGTGGCATGGAATGTGAGGGTTGGTACAGATATGGCCAGATGACTTATCCCTTCACTTGGGGTTTCTGCAGGAAAAGAAGGTAGAAATGAGCCACAACCAGTGTCAAGATCTGAAAGCCAGGCATGAAGAAGTGAGTTCTGAGACAAAGGCAAAGCACGAGGAAGTCCTGCGGAACCTACAGACGAAGCTCTTGGACTCCGAGGAGAGGCTGAACGCTGCGCGAAAGGAGAACAGTGACTTGTTGCAGGAGATGGTGGAACTGAAAAAACAAGCTGACAAAGCCAAAGTATGTTATGGAGAGAGTTCCGTCATTGCATTAGTTTATCCCAGCTCAGCATCGGGCTGGAGGGGTGCTGAGGGAGCAGCAGCACGTGGCAGGAGCCCAGGGGCCTTTGCAAGTGTCAGCCTGACGAGGGCATAACGGCATGACAGGGTGAATCACATTTCCTATGGCTTCAAGTGTTCTGTACCAGCTGCGGTCCTTCCCAGGGCTGGTGATGGCTGCAGGTCTTTCCTGTGAATGTACTGTGTGGCCATCACCCCCTCTGCTGCTTGTTCCCCAGCTGTCGCCACAAAGAGTCTTCTGTTGCCTGAGCTCTGTCTGCCTGCTTGTAACAGACTCTTTGTTGTGGGAAAGCATGTTCCTCTAATCATGGCCATCTTGCTGCCACCTTGCGCTAGGGCTCGGGAGAGACACGTTGCAGAAAAGCAAAAGGCGGAGCCAGGTGAACAAATGAGCTGGGGGTGGAGCCTGGCTGGAGGAACAGCTCTCAGAGGAAAACTTAGCAGTGAGGACTCCAGAGAGCACTTTATATGTCCCCAGGAGGCACCATGAGCTTATTGACAAGGAAGCCTGATTCAGGGGCTGTGAGGAAACATCCTATTGTTAGAGTAGAACTTGATATATTGAATTTCATTTTATGGTGTCAGGATTGTATCTGTGCCCCAATATATTTTTGGACTCTCAGAACTTAAGTTCAACCTCCCTACTCCTATTTAATTTTTCCTACTACTATTTAACTTTTCCCTACTCCTATTTAACTTGTTCAAAGAAAAGTAAATACTTGTCTATAATTATTTTAATGTGCCAGAGAAATAGTAGAAAGAAAATACAAAAGAGCATACGTAGGACTTGAACAAATCCCATTTAAAACTTGTGGACTAAGTGGACCAATGACATAATATGTGTCATATGTAAGATGCCTACCTACTTTTTCTCTCTCCTGCATGCTGGCCATCAAGGCTTTCTCTTCTCCCCGTGAAACAGCTCCAGTTTTGTGAGCCATTTAACACAGGGTACAACTTCCAGATCTTTTGTCTTTGCAGTTATCTTTATCTGGACAGACTCCAGTTTTTTAGTGTTTCCCTTAAAATGTCACAGCCCGACGAGACCACAGCATTCTAGTAGTTTGTGTCAAGTCTCATGAATATTGTTTGTTGTTGTTTTTGTTTTTACAAGGGTCCTTTGGTTAAAATGCCAGAGTTGTTCCCCCATCCAGAGTTGTCTGCTTATTTGATTTCTGTGGATTTCAGTGTTTGTCGACAGCAGAGGCTCACAGGCTTTTCTGAGAATCTGATGAGCCTGAAGAGGTTTGCCCTAGGAAAGTTTAGATACACACTCAACACATTTTATGTAAAATGTCAGTTCATGGAGCCCCAAAGCCTCTGTGTTCCCTGGTTTTAAGAGCCAGTGATTTATAGCTGTGCCATCCAGTAGGGTAGCCACCAGCCATGTGTGGCCATTTACATTTAAATTAGTTAAATTTCAATAAAGTTAGAAATCCAGCTCTGTAGTCGCCCTTAACCATACTTTAAGTGCTCACTGCATTGCTAGTGGCTACCATTTTGGACTGTGCAGATAAGGGACATTTGCACCATTGCAGAAAGTTCTGGACAGCACTGGTATAGACATTGTGGTCAGTTTGTTTATTTTATAAACCAAGACATTGTTTTTAAAATCCATTTTGGTCACCAAAGCCTAGCAAATTAGACTGACTTTTTAGTAAGTTATATGTAATATTGGTACTAAATCAGTCTCGGGCCAGTGATTGTCCTTTAGTAAGCAAGGTCCTGCAGTTAGTTTGAAAGCAACAGTTTTTGCTCTCCCGCCCTTATCCCCCCCTTTTTTTCTAAAATACACTCACTTTTTATAGTGTTTTGGATTGTATTTTTAAAGATTCTTTTGTGCTTCTTTTCTACAATAGTAGTTATTGGTTAATTGGAATGGCTGGAAAGAATCTTTTATGTCCTGATGTCAAAATCAAACTACTGTTTTTATTTTCTAGGTAGCTGTCAGGAATAATTTCAAAAGTTGTTTCAAAGATAAAGTAATAACCATATCAGCACTTTGCAGAGCTAAGCCTGCTTTATGGTATCCTTCTATGGGCTCTGTTCATCCGGTTTCTTTCCCTTATTATCTGGATAGTTTGTATGACATTGATGGTAAAAATTTTAAAGCTTTTATGATGTAGGTTACATTAAGTTATTTGGGCTTGCATTTGTCTGCTTGATTTCATTTTGTTTCCATTCTTTCCATCTTTTGTTTCTGTAGTCGCTAGCTTATTTGTTAACATCAGCCAAAAAAGAAATTGAACTAATGTCAGAAGAGCTGAGGGGTCTGAAATCAGAGAAGCACCTTCTTGCACAGGAGGGAAATGCTTTAAAGTTAGAGAAAGGTTCACTTTTATCAAAGCTGGTAGAGGTGGAGGCCAAAATAACTTTGCTTCAGGAAGACCAACAGAAACTGTGGTCAATAAATGAAACTCTTAATTTAGAAAAGGAGAAAGTCTTAGGAGAAAAGCAGGATGCTGAAAAGCTGTATCAGCAGGAGCACCACAATAATGAAGCTTTGGCTGTTGAGAGAGAGAAACTGCTTAAAGAAATCGATATTGCACAGGAAGAACTCTTGAAGATAAATATGGAAAATGACTCTTTGCAAGCTTCCAAAGCAAGCTTGCAGGCACTCATCGAAGAGCTCCAGTTGAGCAAAGATAATCTGATTGCTGAGTCTAAGAAGAATCTGGAGGAAAAAGATCACCTGGAGGGTCACATCAAGAAGCTTGTTACCGAAAACCTTGCCTTGGCTAAAGATAAAGATGAGATCATTCAGAAGCTTCAGAGCTCTTTTGAGGAGCTAGTCAAAGACCAGAACGCCTTGGTGCAGGAGATCGATGATCTCACAGCCGAGAAAAAGGCAACATTAGAGAAACAGTCAGGTCTTAATGACATGTGCATGGCCTTAAAGGTAGAAAGAGACGCTCTCTTTCAGGACAACAGAGAACTGCAGTTCGAGAAGGATGTGCTGCTTCGAGATCAGGACAAGCTGAACGTCAGCCTGGTGGCCGCCCTCCAGGACAAGCAGCTGCTCAGCACTGAAGCCAGTGGGTTCCGCGCACAGCTGGATGACACCAGCAAAGCTCTGCGGAAGGCCCAGGTGGAGGTTCTGCAACTCCAGGCTACAAACGCCAGCCTCACAAAACTCCTGGAAGAAATTAAGACCAGTCGAGAAATCACAGACTCTGAGTGCATCCAGCTTCTGCATGAAAAGGAAACCTTGGCCTCATCGGAGAGAAGGCTCTTGGCCGAAAAAGAAGAGCTTCTAAGTGAAAATAGGCTCATCATTGAAAAACTCAACAAATGCTCGGAAGAGGCTGCCGGTGTCGAGATGAGCCTGAATGAGATCACTTACCTAACTTCTGAGAAGGAGATGGTCTGTCAGAAAATGACTAAGCTCAAAAAGCAGCTCGATAGTCTCTTGAAAGAAAAATCCGTGCTGGAAATGCAAAACAGAGATTTACTTGCAGAAAGAGAGAATTCCATTAAAGCCATGGGCGAGCTCAAAAGGAAATATGATCAAGAGTCTGCAAACAGAAGGATCATTGTGCACGAGAAGATGAAACTACTCGGCAACCTCGATGCTCTGAAGAAAGAGCTTCAGGAGAGGAAGAAGGAAAACCAAGAGCTGGCAGCCACCAAGTGCGAGCTCTCTTTGATGTTGAAAGAGGCTCAAAATTCCAAAAAGCATTTAGAAAAAGAACACGCTAACACCCTACAAGCAAAGGAGAGTTTGAATGCCGAACTCAAGTCTTGCTGTTCTGAAAAGAACATGTTGCTGAGGGATGGGTTGCACCTGCAGGAGGAGTGTCAGAAGTTAAACGAGGAGATGCAGACCATGCAGCGGTCCCTAATCCTGGAGAAAGGAGACAGGGCCAAGGACAACGAGTCATCCTTGCACGAAAACCAGAGGCTCCGCGGGAGAGTGGTACTCCTGGAGCAGGAGCTGGAAGAGCTAAGAGCCTGCATGAAGGCACTCCAGTCTGAAAACTTCATGCTAATGCAAGAGAAGACCAAATCGGAGCAAAAAAGGGTGGAGATAATTAAGGAAAAGGAACTCCTGAGTGCAGAAACAGCGCGACTCGCTGCCAACATCGAGACCCTCAGAAGTGATTTCGCCTGCTTGTCCACATCCAAGTTAGAGCTGCAGGAGCTGCACAGCTCGCTCACCAAGATCCTGGACGACCTCCGGCTGAACCACGAGGTGACCCTGGCCGATCTGGCCAAGGCCATGCAGGATAACAAGAGCCTGCTGGCTGAGAAGAGAGAGATGATACTGAAAAAGGACGAGCTCCTAAAGGAGAAGGAAAGGCTGGCCGAGAACTACTTCATCCTTCAGAAAGAGATTAGCCAGTTGGCCAAAACCAACAGCCACATTTCAGCCAATCTCCTAGAATCCCAAAACGAAAACCGTATTTTGAGGAAAGACAAGAGCAAGCTCACTCTTAAAATTAGAGAGCTCGAGACTCTTCACTCATTTACGGTAAAGTGGGAGGTTCTGGTGTGGAGCACCTGGACTACTAACCCTGCACTAACCTGTTAGCGTCCCCGCGTAAGGAGGGCCACCCCATCTAATCACTTGCTTATAGGTCTCCAGCTATTTGTTGCCACCCGAAAGGGCAGTTCTTTACTAAACGTCTAATTGCAGTAGTCTCTCTCTTCATTAGAAAAAATTGTAAACTGTGAATAACAAGGATATACTTTTCAATTTAAGGGGAAATTTTCGTGAAAAAGTCACCTGTGGTTCTTAAAGGCCTAAGAACAATAAATAGTAAAATGGGCACATGTTGAAGTATATAATATCTTCTGTTTGGCTTTTAACCATTTCATTGTGTCTATCCATTCGGAATTGGAAGATTCCAGTGAAACCTCCGTGGCTAGGAACAGGGAAGGTACAAGGCAGGATTCCCGTAAGCTTTATCAGACCACATGAAATTGTAAACAAGTGCCTAAAAAGATTTTAATTCATTTTATGATTTTTTTTTATATCTTGTCCGCTAAGGATTTGTTTCCATCTGCATATTATCTTTTTTATTCACAGCCATGTTTATATTCATTACCCATAGCTTCTCATAGACTTCTCCATTCAATGCTTCTCATTCAACACTTGAACCAACTACATTATAATTGCCCAAATAATTTTCATTTGAACAATTCCCAACCTAAATTCTGAATGATTTGAAAAGTCCCAAATTTGAAATAGCATGAATAGTATTTTAAACGTACAACAGTCAGTGTGATTAAGAGAAAAATGCAGCTCTGTAAGGATGCTACTCTATCATCACTGAACGTTTCTTGCAAACGTGAGGCAGAGTGATGAGCATGCCTGTCAGTGTAACTTGGAACTGGCATTGGAAGGTGTAGGTTTAGAGGGGTCTGAAATTATGCAAATTGCACATGACAATTGGCTCATTGAAAAATGGTCTGAAAAGGGTGTGTCACACCGTTGTACGTCGGGTGGGCATAAAGGCCTTTCAGGTCTTAGTCTGTTTGTTTGATATTGGGTGAGGGCTGGCTCCCCGTCTCTGTGTGACTCTAACCACACAGAGGCTGCTGCTGCTGGAGCGTTAGTTAACCTAATGGGGTTGGTAGGGGGTATCCTCGTTTCTCACACTGCTTTGTTGTATTTAGGCTGCTCAAACAGCAGAAGATGCCATGCAGATAATGGAACAGATGACCAAAGAGAAGACCGAAACTCTGGCCTCCTTGGAGGATACCAAGCAAACAAATGAAAAACTACAGAATGAAGTAATCAGATTTAAATGGCTTTTTGTGCAAAGGACAGCTTATCGACTTCATGGGATGTTTGATCACTAACTCAGGATTGTTTATTTTTTGAAGTGTGGCCTCATACAGGTTTGATCGATGTTAGCAGAGTCGAATGTACACCAGAACCATGAAAATATGAAATAAAGTGTATTACTTCATTACTTATTTAGTGGGATCAACCTTTAAACGAGGGGAAAACTCTACTAGTGTGACTTTCTATGACAATTATTCAGTGTTAGAATTAATGAGAGAGGTACTGATAACATCCTCCAGTCTTTGTATCTTTTATCTTAAATCACACACATTTTTTTCCTCAACTCTTTCCAACTTTGAGCCACTAAATTTCATTCCTCAGCCCTGAGTTTGACGTAGGACTTCTCTTGGCCTAATTCAGTACTTTTTCCCTATTGTGTTATCTTGTATTAGTCACTTTTGGGTCTTGGACAAATTTGTGGTGTCAAGATAATTTTGATTCTGTCCAAAAGCAGCATTTCTCATTCTTATACCCTTCTTTGATTTCCCTCCTTCCACCCTCTGAACTCATACCAACCTTTTCTTTCTTTGGAAAGATATCACCTAAATCCTAAGCAGATTGATTCACCCAAATAGTTATGTGACGTTCTGTAGGTCTTCAGGTGCTTTTTAAAGTGATTGGCAGATAAGATCTTAGGAATCAAAGACGGGAAAGGGATAGCCACATTGAAAGGCTACTGTAAAGACGAGGCCTTCTCATTATGGAAGGTCATGGATGGAAATCTGTAAAAAAAAAAAAAAAAGAACATTTTGAGATTAATTGTAGGTAACTAAAACTTGACATAGAAGGGAGTACATTTATAGAGCTGACAGTTCTAAGAGAAGAAGACTTAAGCTAAAAATATAAAAGCATTAAAAAAACATAGATGATAATCAAAATTAGAAGCTGAAGTAGAAGATTTTAGGGAATATCTCTAACCTTTGAGGATAGAATTGGGGAGAATTGTGTGCTTCCATAACATAACACCTGGTGTCTTTGTTATAGCCAGAGTACTGGACTGGATGAATCATTTTCTAGACCCACTGTGATATTTTGGTTTTCTTGTTCTGTAAATCTAGAATGTTAGAGGGCATTGAAAGGAAGATGGTGTTTTAAAAACTAGCAAGAGAATCTCTAGGACTCCTGATGGGTGACATGTGACATGGCCAAAGTGTCTCTGGCTGTAGGTTATAACAACCCAAGTCCCAGAAAGCCATCCTGGCACCAGGAGCACACCCTGTGTAGTGGATGGCCCATACTGACCTGCCATCCTTGGCAGGGACTCCGCACACAGAACTCCAGCCCCCTGCCAGAGCCTGGGGGGTTGGTCACATCCCCACTCATTCTGCATACCCGGATTTCCTGCCAGGGGCCAGACCTTAGCTGGCTGTGTGCCCCAGGGGTAGGAGATGGGGTTGAATGTGGATGAATGCCTTTCAGTCCCACTACATGACTTTTTCCTTTTCAGATTGAAGTTCAGATGGATAACTAAATCGTTTCCCATCTACAAATATTTTGATTCAAATAATTTTTTAATGAGGACTATGTAAATTTGGTACTGACATTGAAAAATATTATATCCTAAATTGCTACTCTGTGGGGAAGAAAAGGGGTTTGTTTTCATTACAAAGTATAACCTTTACTGATGTCATGCCTTTGCAATTTCTTTCTTTTTTTTTAAGATGGTTCATACTTAAATAGCAAGTTCAATGACACATATTGAGAATTGTACACAAGGTGAAAGGAAACTTTTGTTTTAATTTATGAAGCAATTTAGTTTGACATTTTGGCCAGGAGCAGAGGAAATGTCTGACTAAATCTAAGGGGGAGGTCTGCAGTCTGTAACAGACTTGCTCATTTGGAACCTCTTCACACAGGTGCCTTTTTTTTTGCAAGTGACTTAATTTTACCTATTTTTTAATGCACATTTTCATGAATAATTTGTCTTTGTCCCATCATGTCATTGGAAAATGAAATAATTTCATCAAGTTTTTTTCTCTTGGTCTTTAAGTTGGATACACTTAAAGAAAACAACTTGAAAAATGTGGAAGAGCTGAACAAATCAAAAGAGCTTCTGACTGTAGAGAATCAAAAAATGGAAGAATTCAGGAAAGAAATGTAAGTTTATCTCCTTTGAGAGAAGTTATGGAACTTATTTAAAATCACAAAAGTGAAAATAATGCTAATTATAATAAATACTTGACAAGTACATGAAGTAACAAGTAATGGTTACCCTCCTGTTCCCCAGAATGCTATTGCATACCTGAAAAGTAACCCCTCTAATCACTGTTAAGTCAGAACTATAGGCAAGGTAAGGGAACAAATTGAAATGTGTGCTGGCTAATGATTAGGACATTTGGGATTCATTTGTGACTTTGGAAGGCCTTAGAAAATACAAATGGAACCATTTTTTTTTAAGTAGTATACTTACACAATAGCCAATCTTTTTTTTTTTTTTTAAGATTTTATTGGGGAATTGAGGGAGGGGAACAGTGCTAGGGAATCGGGGGAAGGGGAACAGACAAGTTGCTGTCCTTTTGTTCTTCCGTCTAGTTGTGGAGGATGTCGCTTCACTGGTCCATGTTGGTATTATCATTGCGCTCTTCCCGGGTGAGGCAAATCGGTTGCCGGCCGCTGGACGGCCGCTCACAGTGGCTCTTGGCAGCTCACACTGGCTGTCGGCCGCTCACGCTGGCTGGCAGCCACTCACTATGGCTCACAGCAGCCCACTGCCGCAGGGGCTGCAGCCTATGCCGTCACCGGTGACTCACAGCAGCTCAGCTCCAGGTCGAGCTGTTGTTCACCATCTTAGCTGTAGAGGGCAGTGTCACTGGCCCTCATGGGGATCCGAACCGGGGTCCTGCTGCTCAGAACTGGCGTCCCAAGCCAGCTCTTAACCAATGCGCCTCAATAGCCAATCTTAACATTTGGAAACATCAGACCCTTTATTAATAAATTCCTGAAAACCTTTTCTATAGGAAAAAAAAGCAGCATTACTAAGATTATCAGTAATCTTGATTTTAAGAGTAATCAAATCTTCTGGCATGGAAATGAAACGAGCAGAATTTGGCAGACTTTTTCAAGATTTACCCATCAGATGGTACGTAACCTAGACTTCAGGCAGACACACCATCCACATTTCCTTTGTCAACACCGCCTTTCAAGTTTGGTTCTTAATAATTATTGCAGATGGCTATTTATCTGGCAATTTCATGATAATTAAAGTGTAGATTTCATTTTGCTCTTCTATTCTGAGAACTAGACTGCATCAACTATGTGAAACTAAAAATTTAAAGCCAATAAATCTGGTAAACATTTGAGCATGTCCTTCACGTGAGGTACAGTTAAGCTAGGAAGATACAATGATGAATTATATGTGGTCCCCCCAAAGGTTTATATTATTTATTTCCAGTTCCGATCAAACAAACAGATGAGGTTCAAATGAAAAGCAAAGCATCAGTTCCAAACTGCCATTCCCAAGTCAACATGCTCAATACTGTTCGTGGATCAAGCTTGGATTAAACTGGCATCTGTCTGGTTCTTCAGAGCTCTTAAAATCCTCCTAGAAATATCCTCACCTGAGCTCCTTATGGTGCTGATGGTCAATCCCTTCCTCAGTCTTAGTTTTCATACTTCTCTAGATGGTGTTTAAATGGTTCCCAACAATTCCACGCACACAGATTTATAAATTTACAATTGTGATTATGGCCGTCGGGAGAGGCTTAAACTTCTTCGTCTGCCAAAGCCCAGTGACACAGATAGTGGTTACCATGATGGGGAAATGAGTTCAGGATCAGTGCAGAGAGGGTGGGTTCAGTACAGCTCAGGACTTTTTCCCCTGTGACACAAGTAATTATGCTTACCTGGAACATGTGGAGCACTGAGCTGACTTTAGTTCATTTGTGTCACACAGGCAGCTGGTGAGGGAGGGCCCTGAGCAGCAGGAGATCCCCTAACCAACCTCCCACTGCCCTGATCCCACCTCTGAGCTCTCTGGGCCGCCCCAGGAAATGGAGGGTCAGGGCCAGAGAGGACCTAGCGAAGAGAACCCAGGAGTTCCAAGAAAATGCCTCTTCCCTGCTGTCTGACTTCGGAGTTTCTTGTCATGGTCATTACGTTGGCCTAGTTCAGCGTCCTTACTAAATCTTTCTGTCATGTCACCACCCCCAGTTAGTGTGCGGTGCTTCCACCTCTATTAAGGGAGACATTGTTTTTGTGCCCCCTTCCTTGAAGGATCCCAGTGAATAATAAAGCTTAGCCTCGTGCCTGTGGAAGTAAAGAATCTGGAGCAGAAGACGGTGGCCCCACTACCGGCCCTCTGACCTTGGCCTGCCTTTCTCCCTGGGGCCTGATGCCCGGATCTCTGATCCCTGAGCGGAGTCATTCAGGCGAGGAGGAGCCAGACCACAGGGCGGACACAGCCTAGGCTGCTCTGGATTCTTACCTTGTTTCTGGCCCACCAGACCTGAGGCCGTCAGTCAGCCTTCTGTCAGTCACCTGGCGGGATTCTCAGCAGGAGGGAGGAGCAGTGGCAGACCCCCCAGTGACATCTGTCAGGCTCTCTGCTTTTGGAGGGAGGTCTGAGCAGTAGGTGGAAAGAGCCCCTCCCTGCAGTGACTCACTGGGCCCTGCCCTAGACGTGGCCACATCTCAAGGACCATGGGATAGAAATGTGCTCTGTAATGGGAACAGTTCTTCTCCCAAAGCAGTCATTTTACTGTTCCTTAGTTCCTCGGTGCTGAAAGCTAGAGAATGAGCAGCTGCTTGTTCTTCTGTGCTTTAGCATGTACGGGGGCTCTTCACGTCCTCTAGGGCTTGTCGGGTGGTCGTCCCCCTACCTCTCCCCCGTTCCTGGAGGGACACCAATACGACATAGGTCTAACAGGAACCACCTCCTATAGAATATTGCCCTTTGCACTGGAAACCCAGCACTTACAACTAAATGTTCCTTTTCCTCTGTGCTATGTACTAGACTGGTTTCAGGAAAATTCTTGATTTGGGTTAGCCAGCTCCTATTTTCAGTGAAAAATCTAGAATATATTTAGCGTGGCAGTTAATATATTTACGATCAATTCATAAGTAGAATGTTTGCAAGTCAATATTAATATTTTGTTTCTCAGTTTTAAAACTGACAGTCTTTTCTGTTTCAAGTTATGTAGAAAGAAAAGTAGCTATATTTATAGGTACTTTAAAAATTATTCCTTAGAATAGGCCCAGGAGTTGGGCTGTTAGAGCCTCCTTCCTCTGTGAAGTGCATGTACCCACGGCGCTCTAAAGATAAAAGGTACTGTATTTCTATATTCGAATCACAGCTGAGGTCCATCTGCCAGTTTTAAGTCCAGTTTTCTTGCTTCTACAACTTACTGGCTTTATGATTTAGGGCAAGTCTTTTCAGTTCCCTGAGCTTCAGTTTCCTGACCTTTAAAATGTAATAATAACATGAGCTTCCTTGGGCTTTGAGGATTAAATAAGAAAATGTACATGAAAGCATTTTGTAGATTTTAAAACATTGAACAAATACTTAGGACATTTTGATATTTCTTAGACGACTTGTTTTAATTTTCCTTACTGTGGGCTCATAATAGAAACCAGGGATTTAAAAAAAACAAAAACTTTGAAAGATGAAAACCTTTAATAGCGAAAACAGGATCATAAAAATCACTGACAGACCACACAAACGCTGATACCTGAGACCGAACAGCCCCTAACGAAGGCCGTGACCACCTGGGAAGAAAAGGGTTTAAGTGACTCATTACCTGAGGCTAAAATTCCTCTCAGTTTTTCTTCACTTGCTAAATAAACATCCCTGTAAAATGCCAAATTTAATGTGCTGAGAGAATTTTCATGTAGACTTATTCCTCTACGTCTTTATGCGGTCATCCCAGTATGCATATTCTAGGTGGATGGAGAATTAAACATCAAAAAAAAGCTGAAGATGCCAAGCACCACCACCCATTAGACAATTGAAGTTAAAAATAGATGTGCTCATGCATCAGCAGATGGATTCCTACCCAGATGACTGGATTCAGAATTCAGCCACGTATGACAGCTCACTAAATGGAGTTGAGCCAGAACAGACTTAAAATTCATTATTACATCAAACCCTGCTATGGCATAAACTAAAATCCAGTGATCAAAGTATTTTGAATGTCCATGTGCAGAAGACAATAATTCAGGATATATATTTTGGATTAATTTTAATAATGGAAAGATACTTAATAAGTATACTTACCCTGCTCATATTTTAGATGCCGACATTCATGATACAAGTTAGCAACCTATGTTTCTATTTGCTGCTTTTAATTACAAGTTAGCATTATGGGAAGGATATAGTCAAAAGAAGACACCTGTTACGTAACGTAACTAGAAAACTGCGTTTTCTTTGGGATATCTCCTCTATTTGTCCAAAAAGTATACTCAGATTCACACCAGCACTTGATTTGGACAGGTACTCGCAAATGAGACATTAGATTTTGATTTCTGTCAGGAAAAAAGAAAAACCAGATTACAGATTTGTGCAGTTTGAACAGAGCACCTTGGCAGCAAAGTAAATCCCTTTGTCAACGTAATAGTCGTTTTTAGTATAATTTTGTAATGGAAATCGTCCTAAAGACAAGAGGGATACTGACCATTTCACTTGTCATTTATTTTGTAGTAACATTGCTTTTTGTGTGGGGAGTGTTTAGAAATAAGGTAAGTGTGGGTGGTGAGAGGCTGGATGTAGTGCTTATTCGGTTTAAAAAAATGTAATAATTGTGGGCGACGATCCTCCTCCTGAGAGGTTAAAGCCATTTAGCCCCTCCTGCATGTAGATAACACTGCCTCCTGTTATTATAGATCCTATCAGTCACGTGACCCAGATATATTTTCCTCAGTGCTGTGAAGCTGGTCGTCTCCCACAGTTTCCTTGCCTGTCTTGTTTCTATGGTAACTCTGCACTCACTGTCCTTGCAGAGAAACCCTAAAGCAGGCAGCCGCTCAGAAGTCCCAGCAGCTTTCAGCATTGCAAGAGGAGAACGTGAAACTTGCCGAGGAGCTGGGGAGAAGCAGGGACGAAGTCACGAGTCATCAAAAGGTCAGTGGGCCTGGGGTGGGCGTTCCCAGCTCTGCCATGCTGATGTTGGGCACCGCGCGGAGGCAACTCAGAGATGAGCCCCGTGGGATTGGGTCATTCCAGATGGGATGTCACTGTACCTGTGTTGTGTGTCTCCTTGTTTTCAAGCATGCTGCTCTAGGGCTTAGGGTAGAAGTTGACAGGTTCTTTAAAAAAGAAACACACACATCAGCACAGGGAACTTGCAAGCAGGTAGAGGATCGATCTTGTAGCAGTGCCTTTAAATGGGAAGCAACAATATCTTCATACTACTGCTTGGATTTTCTCTAAGATTTTTTTTTCTTTCATCAAAATTGGTTTTAAGGAAATGGGTTCCAAGAATGTGGATTTCATGTGAGGTTGGCAGGTGTTTTTAAATAGAACTCTGCTTTTCTTGAAATTAAAAATAATTTTTTAAGCATTTCTTAATGGAACTGTGTATGTATGTGCCTTTGTGGGCATTGATATATGGAATGTGTGTTACACCTGGAATAAAATGCTAGTCACAACCTATTTGCTTCTGGGTTTAAATCACAAAGGTTTCTGACAAGTTTATTAAACAGTGAAACAAAAATGATTTTAAAGAATGCTGTATATTCTGCTTTTTATTCTTTAACAGTTGAATCAAAGTGCTAGATTTTTAGTCACAGCTGATCTCTGAGCAAAAAAGCTCAAAATGACGTTTTTAAGAGATTTTTTTTACTTGTCATTAATTCTTGCTTTGTGTGTCAAGGGAGAATGTTTTTCCCCAGCATACTTTGCAAACATTAATTCTCACTTGGGGTGAAGTAGTTTGGGGTAATTTTGTAGAGTATCCACTGGTGTGGTGCAGTCTGTGGTGGAGAGTTAGTTTGGAGAGTTGATTTCAGACTTTTTAGTTTTTACCACAGCTTTCCACAATTTTCTTACTTCACAAAAGAGATGCCACATCTCTAGACTCCAGAATGATGATGATGTTGGTGGTAGTCTCTCACATCTATTGGGCCCTACTACGTGACATGCACAAATAAGTGATAGTTATTATCTCATTCATTAATCTTCACAGTAATTCTAGGAGGTGGTACTGTCATCATCCCCATTTGTAAAACACATGGGAGACAAAAACACAAATAAGGTAGTAATTTGTTCAACCTCCTTCAGCTAATAGTATTAAGAGATGTTTGTCATCTGATTTGGGCCAGGAAAAGAATCAGAGTGGGTTGACTTAAATAGGGTCTCTGCCCTCTCCTTTGATCAGCATGTGGGAAATCTGGAGTTCAAATAGAAGCCCTTTGACCCGATGAGTCCTCCCCTACCCCCGGCCCCCAGCATAGACTAGAGCGTCTGAAACACTGGCTGGCTTTAAGATCAGTGTGTCTGTAAGGACTCGCAAGGAGAAGGCTCTCTGCTCTGCGCTGAGTCCGTTCCTATCTTCTTTTATCTCATTTTGTTGAACTTCTCTGGTAGAGGGCATGGATTCCAGAAATGGGAGGAACATGCAGAGATCATCCTCTCGTCTTATGTTGTGACCTTTGCTGGACTGTTGATTACATTTTTGTTTCCGTCATCCAGAGCCAGAAAGGACTCAGAAGGAGGCATCTCGGGGCCTGGGCAGAGGTTTGCAGGGCTCCGCTCCATCCTCCAGCTCGTGCTCGTTTGCATCTTGGGATTTGAATTGCCTTCCCTTTGAAAAGGTTCTGTGACTGAAAATCTGAAACTCAGTGACTTTGAAGGGTGTTAGAAAACAGCGCCTGCAAGGAACAACTAAGAAAACCACTTCTCTTTGAAGAATGGGGTTGTTATGCCCTTCGCAGTTTTCTGTGTTTTACTCAGGAGAGGAAGACAAGTGGGTTTGGACTAAAGCATAATAGGCTTCGATGCTAGAGATCGTTAACAATGATATTAATTACCAGGAAAGATTACAGATTATTCTTCCCTTGAGACGTATGTGTATACATATGATTTCAAAAAAGTAGAGAGAAGCACCCATTTAAAATACCTTAGAAGCAACCATAGTCTAAAGAAGACTGATTAATTCATTGGCTTCCTTGGTCTTCTTGTATAATCTCCAGGGCTCCAGAGTACTGCTTACTTAGGTGAAATTACGAATTTTCACTTGGTTACTTTCTATAGTCGAGCCAACCTATTGATCAGCTACATTCAGAAATATACTACAGAGTCAGTGTTGGGCAGAAGTCCTATTTTTTTAAAAAAGAAAGACTTTTAATTATAGTACTATAGAAATATTTAGAGTTTGGTTCTAAAAATTAGTACAGCGAAGCCGAGATTGACGTGGGCTAGATGGATACGGACCTAGGACCTGAGTTCTCTCCTGACTCCCTGTTTCGTAGCGCCTAAATTCATTGAGCGTTTTGTGAGCTGATTGCCATGCTAGGTTTCACAGAATTATCACAACATACCCTTGAGGTAGTAAGGTTGCTTTGTAGACGAGGAAGCTGAGGCTCACAAGTTGAAGTAACTTGCACAGGACACACAGCTAGGCAGTGGAGGAGCCGGATCTGAACTCGTGTCTGACCATCTCAGAAGCCTGTTCCCCCGCTTCTCCCCAGCACCGAGACTAAAGCATATTTCTACTTACTTCATGGTTACTGTTAACACAAAGTACCAGTGAGCCCGTCTGGGGTAGGTGGGCTCAAATGGTGCTGTAAAATGCACTCTCATTTCTAACGGTAGATACTTTTTCTGCCTCAAATATTTGTTTTGCTTAGAAAACCCAAGACATCCCAGAATCTGTTCGGCATCTTAAGACTCTCACTGGGATTATTGGCCAAAGATTTTGACTTCCTGAGGCGGTTCCTTCATGATGAGGGCTGTTTGATTTCCTGCCTGTCATTTGGAAGTGAAGCTATTGGTTGAAATAAATGAATCCCTGCCTCCCTGGGATGGTGGTTTTGGAGACCATTCTCTCTTTGTATCCCCTTAAAAAGGTGATGTAGGAAATTCTGAAGTTAAGACCGGGTGCTCGAAGGTGGAGAGTGAAGACAGTGTCCAGTTTTCCTTAGAAACCTTCATTGACTTGACTGACAAGCCGGCACCCAGGGCCCCTGTGAAGAAGTAGTTTAACAATGGAAAGGCTCACCTGTTTGCTTCTAGTCGTCTAGGAGGGAGCTGCCAAAGCCAGAAACAGAGCCCGCGGGGGTGCCCGCTTTGTTGTCTGCTCTCCCCATCAGGCAGTCTCCCTTCCAATGAAAACGGTTTAAATTGCCTTTCCCAAGTGGGATCTTTCATTTTACGGGGGGAGAGGAGCGACAACCAGGATCAGTTAGGATTGTGGGGGGCGCAGGGCTTGATTTACCTGGCATCAGCAGTAACAGAAATCTTTATAAATGTCTCATGGAGTGCCTCGTCTTTTAAGAGAATAGATTAGATTGAACAATATGAAATTGCTGCTGTTCCGCAATGTCATATGGTTCCACTGAATAGTTAACATAATTTCTTGTTTTTTGATGACTGACTATTATGAAGATTGTTGTTATAACTGCTATTGACTATTCACTCACATTGTTTCCTGCCTGATGGCCTGACTTGTTTACTGCTGCTTCACATTGCTTGTGTGTGTGTTAAAATATTAATATACACAACATAAAATTGACTGTTTTAACCATTTTTAGTGTACTGTTTAGTGGCGTTTGGTACATTCGCAATGTTGTGCAGACATCTCCTCAGTCTAGTTCCAGAATGTCTGCATCACCCCGCAAGGAAACCCCTTTCTCCCTCCTCCCAGCCCCTGACAACCACTGGTCTATGTTTTGTCTATTCTGGACATTTTATATCAATGGGATCATATAACATGTGTCCATCTGTGTCTGGCTGCTCTCACTCAGTGTCAAGTTTTCAAGGTTCATCCATGTTGTAGCGTGTCGGTGCTTCGTTCCTGTTCATGGCTGAGTAGTGTTTTATCGAGTGGATAGACAGCATTTGCTTATCCATTTGCTCCAGGCGATTTATGTCTCCTTTCTCCATCCACACTGTCCCGTGTCCCTCCTGCTGTCTGCATTCCTGCCTGTAGCCAGACTGCTAACTGCCCGTTGGCTCTCCTGTGGGTTGGGAAATCCTTCTCATTTCCCTGAAAGCAGCTCTAAATCTTCCCACATTGTCCACACTTACAGCCCCAACTTGTCCTTACCTTTACTTCCCAACTTTTAAACAGAGCATTGTGTTTTCTGCCTCTACCGTTCCCCTCCCGTTTCCTTCCCAGCCCTCTGCAGTCTGCTGCTTGCCACCCCCAGCGCACCACCGATGTGACTTGCGCTTGAGTCCCCGCTTACCTAATGAAGGCACAGACGCGCGGCTTCCTTCCTTCTCCGGAGCCTTTGGCGCCACCCCCCTCACCCCTGGCTTTTTTCCACCTGTGACTTGTGCCACACCGTTGGCTCTTGCTTCTCTGCTCCTCCTGCCACACCTGGCCACCTCCTCTCGCGTGCCTGTTCTTACACCTCTTCTCCCTTCCCCGTTGGGTGAACTTCTCTTCATTTGTAGAGGCCCACCCTAAATGTCATCACCTCTCAGAGGTATCTGCTTCCTTCTTTGTGTTCAGTAGCAGTCGTCACCGTTCTCTATTTGTAACACTTAGAGCAATGTATTGTGGTTGTTTCTTATGTTTCTCTTCCCACACAGGCTATGACATAGTAGGAATCAGAGAGATTATATGTTAGGTAGGAATGAATGAATGAATGATGTGAGTATCCAGTTTTCAGCCAGGGCCTCGGGTCCTGTTTTACAGTATAAGGTGTAGCGAGTTCGTGACTGCTCTTTCAACTTCCTTATGTGACTCTGGTTACTTCCACTTTACAGCTTTGTGGCAGAGAGTTGTGACTCTCAAAGCCTGATCACAAAATGAGCGTGGCATTTGCAGTGCGTGGATGGTAGAAGCGTACTGTGCGCATTCAGGCGGGGTCTCATAGCTTCAAGATGAATGGAAACCACACAGAGCATTATTTCTTTTCATAGAGAATGCTAGAATACTAAAGATAATCAAATTGATGCGAGTTCTTCTATTCACATAGTCATCTGTGGAAGTCACTTTTGAGATGTCTGATTTATCATCCCCAAACCTCACATGTATTCCCCTTTGTAAGGACTGCAAATACACTCAGCTGTCACTATGGGAACAGTGCTGGTTCTCCCCCTAGTTATTTTCAAAATGAGGTTACAGTTTGCCTGTGGAAACTGGACATTGATTAGATGACTCAATAACTGTATTTCATCAACAGTTTTTCCCGACAGAGCTTATAGCAGATGTAGTCTACAAAAGACTGGGGTTATCATCTAAATTGATCCATGAATAATTGCCTGCCTTTTAAATGAGCCTGAATTCCCAGACATGAATATTTAGAAAGGGAATGCTATTTTTAGCTTGTCATGTTTTATTTTGGAAAAGTGATCATCAGCCATCATAATTTTAATCCGGGCCCAGGGGGCTTCCGGGTAAGTAGGGCTGAATGAAGCTGAATCACAGACTCGCCCCCTCTCAGTCCCTAATGAAGTGAGCACACTGTTTTGATTATTAAAAAATGTCTGCAGGAAAATCCAGCAAAGCCCATCAACTTCATGCTGTAAATGTTGACATTGACAATGAAGAAAAGAAACAGGAATTGTGGTTTGACTGTTAGACATTGTGTTCACAGTGGTAAGAGAAAGGAAAACAAATAGCAAAATCCTTAGAATTTTCATTCTAATTCTCCCCATCCTCATGCCCAGTGCAGTTTCGAGAAAATTAGCCTGGGGAAAAGTCAAGGAGAAATCTTTGAGGCTTAAAGCCCCTTCTACACCTCAGGATTCTACCAGAGGCAGGAAAAACCGCTAGCTGTCATTTTCCAGTCTAGCCTTAAGTTCATGGGAGTGGGTGGGCTTTTTTCTCAAATGATCCTAAGTCCACAGGAAGGCAGTCCCGGGTGGGTTCAGCCTCTCAGTAATGTCCTCATGGAAGCTGGCGTTTCTTTCTGCTCTTCTGCTGTCCTTGGCATTGGCTTTCATTCTCTCCATCACCATGGCTGCTGTTGTACCTCCAAGCACTGCAGACCTTCCCAGGAGGAAGCAGGGAAGGGACAAGGTGAGGAAAGGCAGAGGGCTTCCCCGTCACAGGGCCTTTCTTTTAATTAGGAGAGGAAAGTTCAGATCTCTCTAACAGTGTCACAGGTAGGCAGTCCTCCAGCCATACACGAGACTGCCCTTTCCTGTCTCTAGGGAGGGGAGGTAACAAAGGAAGTGAGAGTAGGTGTTGAAATATCTGCCTGGGGCTGAAGCCTGAGGACACGCTCCTGCAGGAATAGGATCGCCTCTGTTCAGATGCGCTGAATGAGATACAGGACAGTAAAAGACAAAGCTCCGAAAAGCACTTGCCCCAAGGGCCCTGTGGCTGCAGCAGTGTACAGACCACAGTGCCCAGCCTTTCACCTGTAGCTTGGAGATGAAGATTAAAGGTCTCAGATAAAGGGGGGAGGGCATCAGGAAAGATGCATTTACGTTACATGTGAGTGAATGGAAGGTGTAGGTAGAGCTGCCCATAGTAAGATGAACAGTTGAATACACATTGTACCAAAAGAGGAAAAAAAGAAAAGAAAGGAACACAGGAATCCAAAGAGAGATGAGGATTTCAGGCCATGAGAAAACATGATGCAAAGTAAAATACTGCTTTATGGTATATAAAAACTTAAGTGATTTAAATAAAACAGCTGTTCAGAGAGGAGAACGAAGTGACACAAATTGAACAGAGAGTTAAGGAAAAAAATTGAAGACCAAAACCACACTATATCAGAACTAGGAAACAAAGGAACCAAAAGGAACCTTACGAACATTTCTAAAAATATAAAGGAAAGGCTTGAGCTAATCATAATAAATAAAGAGGAAAACAGTCAAAGATATTAAAGAATTAATAGAAAGATAACTATGGAGGACAAAGATAATCCAAATGAGTATAATTAGCATCCTTGAAGTAAAGAACTCAACAAATGCAATAGAAGAAAGTATTAGGAGATAGAAAGAAATTTCCCCCCAAGTGAAGGAAGAACTGAATCTGCAGATAGGAAGGACACAGTGGGTTGTGTAGAGACCCAGGAAGGGAACCCACGGGGGGAAATTAGTCCAAAGTAAATGACACCAAAAAATACCCTGATTACTATTGAACTTCAAGGAGGTGCTTGGGCAGAAAAAGCAGATTCCTTATAAAAAGGTAAAAAACCAACATACTGCAGCCACATTCAATGTCAGAAAACTGTGGTGCACTCTTTCCAAAGTTCTGAGGGACAGAAAACATGAAGAAGAGCATTGTATCCAGGCAATTATTACTCAGGTAAGAAGGTAGGCAGAGGTTCTCAAACATGAAACAACTTAGAAGCTGTAGCTTCCTGAGTCCTTCCAGAAACGACTTCATAAAACCTGGCCAATCAAAATACAGGACTTAACTAAAGAGAAACTGGTAAAAGGACTGGTGGTGAGAATTAAATCCAAGTAGACAAACAGCTATGCTAACAGTTTAGGGAATTACAGATACGGAGTAGAATTGTGTTTTTAACTTTTTATTTGGAGATCACTTCAAACTTTGCAAAAGTAAAAATAGAACAGAGCGCTCATATACTCCAAGGACTTGTTTTTACCTAGCCGTAGTGCAGTTATCACACTCGGGAAGTTTAACACTGTTACGTACAGACCGTATTCCTATTGAGGCAGTGGTCCCAGTTTCATCCTTTGTAGCTTTTATTCCCCCTTCATCCAGATCCAATCCAGGATCACGCATCTCACTCACTGAGTTGTCATGTCTTTTTAGTCTTCTTTACTTGGAACGTTTCCTCTGCCTTTCTCTGTCTTTTATGACTTGACTTTTGGAAAAAAACAGGCCAGTCATGTTGTATAAAATCTTCATTTTGTTTGTCTGATGTTTCAGGATGATGGCATTCAGGCTCTGCATTTTTAGCAGGAAAATTATATATAAGTCAGCTGGATCCTGCCAGGAGGCACGGGTTGTGGCTTGATGTTCATTTTGATCATTCAGTGAATGTAAGTCTAAAACACCTGCAAGGTGGAAAGAAAAAAGAGACAAAATCTAATACGACTAAAATTTGAGGTGGTAGGGTTGAAAGAAAGGGGAAGTGTGCAAACTTCCTCATCTTGTATATCAGGGTGATGTCGATATTGTCTAAAATTAAAATTAATTTAGACCTAAGAAAATCATGTTAACGTCTTATGTTTTCTTTAAAAATGTTTTATTTGAAAATTTTACACAATGAATGTATAATATATAAACCTAGCGGGGGCTCGTAGAATCGAATATATCTTTGTAGTAAAGAACATTTTCTGCCCTCAACCAATTTCTTTTGTTTACTTCAATTTTTATTTCTCCTGTTAAATTTAAATAAAACTAATTTTTGTTCCCCCTAGCTGTCCTTCTTGCTATATGTACATGGAGATGTCTGGCATGTCATTCAGCTAATGTTAACTATGGTAGAATTATTCCAACATAAAATTCCATTCAGTTATTCCATTCACATAGAATTATCCCTCATTGGTAAATTGGGGATATTTTTTCCCCTTTTTTTTTTTCTTTTTCTGTATTGTTGAGTTTTCTAAGAAATGAGCATCATCATTTTAACAGAAATAACAAAGTAATTATTCTTTTAAAAAATGACAGTTTTACCTACAAGTTAGAAATTGCTGAAGCCAAAAACCCTGATTTGCTTGGCTTCTGCAGGAATCTTCCTTTCCCCCATTTAAGCATTTTCAAGCATCACATTAAGGAAATGGGCCAAAGGATATGTTTAGTTGCTGAAGGCCTTTTTTGTCTTACATCTTCTTTCTGCATATCTTAAGTTTCTCGTTTGAAACAGCCCCCCCAGACTTCGCCGTAGTCCTCTTAACTTCTCTAGCTTCTGAAGAGATTTGTGCAAAGGCATTTCCCAGCCCTGAGATGCTACCCCGTCTGGAAGTGACTGTCCTAGGGTCTACGCCAAAGGGTGTGGGTCTCCCCAGCTTGTTTCTGCCCGTTAAGGATGTTTACAGCTGGATGGAGGAGGCACTTGAACTGCACTGAAGTTGCTAGCAGTCTTATGGGAAGAGTAGCTGCTGTCTTTTCAGCACCCAGGAGTACAAATTCAAGACTAAGGTGGCTTGTATGCATTATATAAGAGCTACGTCACATGTATTGGCCTCACTCAGTCACAGTCCCTCACCCACGCTATAGCCACACCATCAGTGCATTCTTGATAAAGGACAATAACTGTGTGTGTATGGTACTTGAGGATGTAAATATATTCATATATACTTACTTACATAATTCATATACCATTCACATAAACGCAAACCAGCCTCCAAGGCCTTCTATCTTCCCGTGCCCTTTGTAAGATCTTATGGTGGTAACTTAATGCATCCTGTTGCACATCGGGCTTCCTGGGAAGCAGGCTTAGAGACTGAGTGTTTCGTGTTCATGATGTTCCTTAAGATGAGCGCTTGGGCCAGCACCTGTGGAAAAGAGGGGACGGAAGCAGGACTGGGCACAGCCAAGAAACAGGCCTGGTGACGGCTTTGACGGACCGACACCACAGGGAGCCCTGGAGCTGGAGAGGCCCTTCAGATTTGTTCCAGATGGGACTAGCCAGTCTTTTCATAATCCCACATCAGTCACTGGAGGTGGTCCATCCTGGGAAGGGGGCATGACCCTGGCCAGAGGTGGCTCCACAGCAGCGAACCCTGAAGGGGCTGCCGACCACACTCTCAGAAGCTGGCCACAAAGGGGCTTGGCTTGAAAGCGGGGTCTTGGCAGCACTCCTCCAAAAGGTTTGTCCTTAAAAACGACTCAAATTACTAAATCCCCCTCTTCCTTTTTTCCCCATTATCTTCTCCACTAACAGGAGAAATCTGTCTTTCTGTGTGGGAGGCCAGACTAGAAAGCCAGACACAGGGAATGTGCTTTGTGCTGTCAAGGTGGAGCTGCTATTTCGGACCCAGAACACTTGCCTAGAGAAGATACTGAAATAGCCCAAATGAAAACCGCTTCCTTGGGGCGGTCGGGGAAAAACAGCCTCAGCTCCACCCTGGTTTGACGAGGCTGAGGCTAGTCCAGCCTGAGCTCCCTGTGTGAGAACTGGCCCCTGAGTGCCACCGCTCACTCATACCCGCCGGGCGCACCAGCTTACTGACTACCAGGCACATTTGTTCACTCAGCACATAGTTATTGAGTGCCTACTATGTGCCTGCCAGTGTTTCAGAACGGGAGGAGACAGCAGTGAGCAAAACAAAAAAGAAAATTACTGCTCCCCTCTGAAGATTTTTGTTCAAGTGGTCTTACTGAGCCTGCAAACACAGGAGCTGTATATGTGATGACTTTGAACTTCAGCACACCCTTTATTTCACACAGGCCAGTCATTTTCTTAGCTTAAATGATAGGTTAAAAGCAAATTACCCACCGTGTTTATTTACAAAACAGTTTTGTGGATGGATAAGCGCTTTGAGGTTTCTGGGTTCGTGTTCCTGAAACTGATTACACTACACAGTACACTACTTTCACTGTAATGTTATTTTCTTAATATTTTTCTTTAAAGTAACCCTCTCTTTTATTCAACCTTTTATTATGAAAAATTTCAAGCACACAGAAGCAGAATGAGCAGTAAAATGAATCCCCATGTATTCAACTCCAAAAGCCATCAACTCTTGTTGTCCTGGGTTGGATCTTGGACCAGAAAAAAAAAACCATTGTTTTCTATAAAAAATTCAGTACGAATATCCCAAACTTATGTTCCATGGAAATGTAGGCACAGTGCATCCTCTGGGAAAGAGGGAGAATCTCTGCATGCTGTATTTTGCAAGGTTGAATGGTTTTTCAAATGTTTATTAATAATTTGTGTTTTCTCTGTTGTGAATTATCAGCCAGGTCCTTTATCCATTTATCTCTTCATTGAAGACATTTCCCAGTCTTACGTTTATTGAATTTCTTCGTTTTCATTTTTTAATTGAAAAATTTAAAACAGCCTCGTGTTTTAAAAATAAATGTAAGCTATATAAAGGGCATAAAGTTAAAAATGAAAGCCCCTCTTGCCCCCACATCCCACTCCCCAGATGTTCAGCCTCATTTTTTTCTATCAAGCTACATAAAGATTTTTTTTTGTAGTTCCTCTCATTTTTTAATGTTTGCCTCCCACTCTTTTTCCTTCCTTTCACTCTTTAAAATTTTCTAAATATTTCTGTGAATTACTCATGCAGGAAAAGCATATATCGTAATAGACTGGAAAGCAGAGTCTACAGTGAAAAAAACTATGTTAACCTCGATAGACATAATAAATATAATTTAATGTTCAGAACATACGCGTCTGTGTATATGTGAGAACTTTTTAGGTATGAAGACCTTATAGCAAAACATGTACATAACAGATACATAAACAGAAATACCTTAAATTCTGGGCTATTGGAAACCATTACTATGTAGACTTGGATGATATCCTTAAAAAAAAAAACCACCCCACTTAACAGCTTTTTCACCCCTTTGTTTCATTAGCAATGTGAGTTGAAATTGGCAGATTGGGGCTAGAGGTGAGCCTTTTCTCAGAAGATTAACTGAATCTTTTGTTTTTTACCCTTTATAGAATAATAGAACTTTAGAACTAAGGGGCCACTGGAAATTCTTTTGTCACTTCCACATTTTATAGGTGAGAAACAAATGCTTGGAATATTGTAGGCATAAAATGAGGCCCATAGAGAATCAATGACCTTTTCCTAGCCGCCCTTGAGTCTGTGACACTTCACTGCTGTTGTTTCAGTAAAGAAACCCAAATGTTCATAGTGAAGCTTTCACTCCTGGTTAACAAACATTTGTTAAAAAAAAAAAAATGTCTAAGGTACAGCATGAACTGTTCAAGTTATTTGATATTTTTCACTCAAGCCCATGAGGAAGAGGAGTCGCTGGGGTCGTAAGTGATTTGTACGCTACTAACTATACATCCTGTGATACTGTGCCCATTTGCTCCTTTTTTACTCGCTGCCTGCGAGGGCAGCCAGTTGCTTCAGCCGTCCTGGAGCCTGGGAATGTGACCTGTGGCATGAGAAACAGGCCTGTGGGCCTGCTCTGAACTGAACGTTTGTGTGTGTGCTTTCTTCCAGGTAGAAGAGGAGAGATCTGTGCTCAATAATCAGTTGTTAGAAATGAAAAAGAGGTAAGTTTTCTTTCTGTGTTTACTGTTGGCATGTGCGTGAGTGTGTGTGTTTAATAAGGAAAATGTTAGAACGTGAGGTATACAGGGACTTGTAGAAACGTGCAGCCTTCTTAGACTCACAAAATGGCATTGTGATAGTTTGGTCCTCATCATAATTGACAAATGATGAAAATTCATTTGCAAAAGGTTCAGTATTAATTACTAAAACAGACTTGTTGAATTTTTAGCCACATTCAGTTGCATTTATTCAGAAGTGTTCTAAAATCAGATTGTCTCATATTACACTGCTGTTCCTTCCTAGTTTCAGTAACTAAAAAAATACTATAATTTTTCATGGAGTAGTGGATCTGCATATAAATACTGATTTCAATTACATAAAATTTTTCATTTTTCAATAATAATGGCTAATACCATTTAAAATGTTTCTACTTTCTAAAAAAAAAAGAGCTGTGTTATTTGCTATTCTTTCATGATAATCAAATGATATTCAGATGGAAGCCTTCCAATATTTTTGAGTAAGAATAAAGGGGCCCACGGAAATGATCATTTAGAAGCTCGATGCTTGTACATCGTGACAGTCTGTCTGTTCTTTTAACATGTGCAGTTTGTATCTATAGAGAAATTTAAAAAAATAATAATAAAGTAAAAACAGAAAAAAAAAATTTCTCCATGCTCTTGCAAAGTATCCTATTCTTACTTGTCAGGACAGAGGCACTTCCCTCGCTGGACCCCTGACACACGTGTTTTACACTGGCAGAGTCCCCTCCTGCCTGCAAGGCAGCTGCTTAGGAATTGGGGGCTCTATTTAGCCCACAAAGACATTTGAGTTCCATAAGCTACATTCTAAAGGACATTGGTTCAGTGGTGCCTTTCCTCCATTCTTTCTTTAATTAAAAAATACTCAGATT